CTGCGATGTGCACGCACATGTACATGCACATAACCCATCAAACACACTGACGTACACACACACACACACACGTCTCCTAGCCTTTCCATCATATCTCAAACAAACACACTGAAAAATAACCTACACACAGCGATTCCCAATATAGCCCTGCAGACTGCTTGGGTAAGCGCTGTGAGTCGCAAGGTCTCATCATAAGTCGACACAGCACGTGATAAGATGGTGTGGCCAGCACCGCACCTGACCACTTTTGTCTTCACACTGCTTGTGTTTACACACTGCACCAGACACTCATGTGCGGTGGCTAAGTTGACCTCGAGGAAGCCCCAGGATAATTTAGGATATCACCATTGAGTGATATGTGACTCAGAATTGACCTCAGGCTGCCAGATTTGTAGCACAAATGCACTAACCATTGCACCATCGCTCCACACATACACACACATTTTCACGCACAAGACATACGTGCACCCTTGACACATCGGTGATATTTCTTTGTATTTCCTAACAGAGACAGTGCTCGTGCAAATGATGCACTCTCAGCAGAGAACAGACAAGCCTTTCACCCCTTGTGTGCTTTGCATGCGCAGAGTGGTTCAGACAGCCGCTGCCCCCAGCTTTCCTTGACGGGCTGTCAGAAAAGGCTGGCGTCCTGGCTGACTGCAGATGTACCTTGTTGAGGGTTCCGACTCCTCTTAAGGGAGGGGTATCTTTCAGGCGTCATTCCTCCTTCCCCTGTTTTCATGGTCGAGACCTCCTCTGGATCCGACCTAGAAGTGACAGTTTTGTTTATCAAGTTGACATTTTCGTGGCCAGGGCTTGATATAGGAGCTGAGTGTTCCATGCAAGGAGTGCACACTGACAAATATGCAATTGTAAATGCATGCACTGACACAACACTAATACGTCTATACAAAGACATGCTGTACGAAATATCTTCATCCCATCTGTTGACCGCTCGGGCAAGTGCTGTTGGCGAGCTCCTATTAAGGCTGTTATGGCACGTAAAAAAAGTAGTGTGGCCAGCTCAATATCACTCTGTCTTTGTCCTCATGGCGGTGCTAATTATATGCTGCACCATGTGCTCATATCAAGCTGGGTCATCCTAGAAAAGACCAAAACAGGTTCAGGTACCGCTTGCCGCTGGCGATGTGCATGGGTGGTAATTGCATTCAGCTCACTGGGATCGTAGTACGTTTCAAACCCACTATGCCAACCCTCTCCACACATTCACTCACTGATGCACTCACAGATGAAGACGCCTCACAAAGCCTGCAGAGAGAGCTTCACTTGAGCAAACAACTCTTTTTATGCTTGAATATTCCTGAATTCGTAGCTATCATGCAAAGGGCAAGTGCAAGTTCTACAACTCTGAAATACAGTTCGCATTGGGAAAGCAGCGGTCCAGCGGTTAGCAGACTGCACTGTGAACCCAGTGGCCGGAGTTTGATTCTCAGCTCCGGTGAACATCAGTAGTTCGTTCATAATAAACGTTTTGGGTTAGATCGCGTTATTTATAAATGTGTTGTAGCCCTCCACCACTCGACATGGCCAATCAGTAAAAAAAAGTGTCCCGTTGACAAAAGACAAATAGTTCACTACTGTAGTAGACCGGTGTGTTGAAGAGTGAATCCACAAAATTTACAGTTTTTGAGTACGACGTTTCGCTGGTAATTACATCCAGCATCATCGGGCAATTCGCCAGAATGGTGAAGCCCTCACTTCACCAATTGAGGGCATCACCATTCGCGAAAGCCTACGTGTTAAACTGATCAGTAGTTCGTGATAGCTGAACTGGTCTTGGGTGTCCCCCACTTCACCAATCGGCACGAACCAGCGTGGTGAAGTATGGTTAAATGACCCACTTTATTGTCGTGACCAAGGGAAACCTCCATAATTATACACTCTGTTCAAATATACAACGTTTATAATACAATTGTAACTGAACATAGAAATTTTAGAAATCATGTTTCATCATAATGGGACATGACCAATCCACCGCGAGAGGAATACATTAAGCCTGCAATGTAATACAATAGCAAGAGATAAATATGCGAATAAAAGTGTATTGCATATATACATTGCAATATTCAAAGTACGAATGATTATATACAACGTAAGGAGAGCCATTGCCTATAATATGTGTGTGTATATATGTTGTACTTTTTTGCATAGCCAACCGTGATAATCGGAGGTGCGTTAGGTGGTTCAGCAGCGTTGATTCAAGCAAGCCTGACTGCTGGTGAGACACTGCGTGTCAAAACCGGTCTAGAGTTGTTGTTCCCTTTAAATCATTTCTGCTGCAATTATTCACTCTCAGAAGGCCGTTCAGCTCTTAGTTTGTGTAAGAAATACGTTTTTGTGTATGGAGATGGACATATAAAGGAGACATCTTCCGCTTATTTTATTTTGTTATTTTTCCACAACAACGTTAATTCATATTTTGAGTCTTCGGCATTCCGATGGCAAGCACCCCACAGAGTGACCGCCGTTCACTTCTCGTGTTCCAGCCTGGAGATAATAGGCTGCATTTGAACTCTCAACCTACTGACTGTGAGTCGGGTGTTCTGCAACATCACCGCTCGGGCAAGTTTAAAAGCATACAAAGTAGAAACTGAAATATAACAAACTGACATGTCTGTCCATTAAGTGCAATTCCACCTCATATTTAACGTATCTGGTTCCATTAGACCAACGTTTGTTGGCCGTGTGTCACTGTGTTTAGAAAACTCAACTCACAATATTCTGTATTATTTAACCGTGTTAAGATGTTTGTCTTTTTAACATCTATTGTTAACATCATTGGAGCACGCTGTACCAGTTTGGGAACTGCTCTAGCTGCATGAGAGCTTCAACAATCCATTATTCACTTCACGATAAATCACGCTGCTCCGCAGAGAGCGGAATTTTATTTTGGTGATCTTTTTTACGTCATAGCCAGGTCTAATAAGAGGTGCCAGGGAGGCATGATTTTTTTCCCACAACACACACAGGAACAGTAGAATAAGAGCAGTGAGGAATTACGCCTTAAGTTAAACACTCTAGTTATATAACACGCACGCACACAAATCTGATGTTGTCTAAATGAAAAGGTTTAAGGAGCAGCCCTGCAATCACCTGTGTAATCACATCACTGCCGGTGAAAGTGCTTCAACTCGCGGGAGATGTAGAGAGGCAATCTCGACGCCTTTGACCTACACTGCCACACTGGCCAGACACCTCAGAGGAGGTGGGAGGACTCACGCTTTACCTCACCCCCGACGCTATATCCTTGTTTTGCGTGTGTGTGCATAACTACGAGTTTAAAATTGTCTAACTGGGTGACACGATAGCAGAATGCTTGACTCACAAAAAGAAAGTGGTCAATTCAAATCTCAGCCCACGATCTCTCTAAACGTTTTACTTCACGGAAAGTCAATATTGGCTGTGCAAGGGAACGACCTGTCATATGAATGTGGAATTTCACCAACAGAGATGAGCACATGACAATCTTTATATGAGTACGTAATGGCCAAAATAAATCATTCAGCTCTTTACTTTATCTATGAACAACTACTGGCAAGCGTTTTGCTCTGTATATCTTGGAAGTTCCACACGTTTCATAAGGATTTGTATAATTAGCTCAACTCAGCCTCCAAAAATTATGGCCGACAGATATCCAAGACTGTGGGGATGCAAATTGTTAAATGGAGACTGTTTGTTCAAGGCGAGCCCGTCCCTAATTTACGCTTAGGCCCAGAGCTTTCGTCGTTAGTTCGTAAAAAAAAAAGTGAAAATACAACAGCGGCAGAAAGTAACACGCACGCGAGTGTGTGGACTGTGCCTTCGGGTGCTGGCCGACGTCAAATCACTGAGCCAGCACTTCAGAGAGCCCGGGTTCAAGCCACACGTTTGACAGATGAAATATGAGCACTGCCTTCACGCAGCCTCAGCCCCGTCGTCGCTGATACGGTATTCCCTCGTTATTCACGGACTTGCTGCACGCAATTTTTGGCCGTCCACGAATCGTATCTGGAACTCTCCACGACTCCATCGAGAGAGAGAAGGGATGAGATCAAGTGATGAGCAATAAAGTGATGTATTAGTTTAAGGTAATTCATAAAACCAAAAATATAGGTTTTTGCAGACCAATCGCATTATCCGCGAAATTTGCTATTCGCTAGCATCTCCGGAACGTATCCCTCGCGAATAATGAGGGAATACTGCACACCAACAGTAGTATATATTTTTTTTTAATTATTGATGCGGAATAGATCCGTTCAGAAGTCATGGCTCATTTTTAGGGGGTGCCTGTCTCAAAAGGAATTTGTTTGTTCTTGAGTAATGGCATTTAAATGCATTGCCCACCGATTTCCATACCGAGCGTTGTATTATATGTGTTTGTGCTTTCCTATAGTCATTGAGACGGTCGTTATATATTCGGGTGTATATTTTCTTAATAGTTGTCGTTTTGCACGTCGCTCCGAACGATGGAGCGTGACAAACAAGTCTGGATTACGATGCTCATGCGTTGCTTGCTCGCCTTGAGAATCAAACTGTTGACTCCCAGCAAAATTGGTTTCGTGTAAAGAAGGCTTTACGCTTCAGATACCAATAGCTACTTACGCACACGGACTGAAATTGAAGCCTGATGACAGGACGTGTATTATAGGAAATCACCATGCACAGCCATACTCACACTCAGATATGTATAAAGACTGTGGGAGAATGTGCTTTTAGCAAGTACCTATTAAGGCCAGCTCAGCAAACGGAAGCAGTGGTGTGGGTATCACCATTCCCCATCAACTTTGTCTCCCAAATGCTGATGTTTACACACTGCACCGGGTAGTTATTTACTGCTGGGTGGAATTCAATTTGAGGTGGTCGAGATTGTACCACAATGCAATAACCACTTTCCTAAAGCTCTCCTCACAATCGCACACATACAAGAACATCAAGATGGGTTTGTGGCATTTGAGTTAAGATCCTGTTCACAATGCTCTGTTCCATGTGCTTCTCTGCAGGTGTTGCTGGATGATCACATGGTGAAGACGACGACAATCAAAGGATCCCCGTTCATCGCTCCATTTGAGAAGGAACTGACTGCTTGGGAGGCCAAGCTGGTGAGGCCATCGCATTTTCAAATGCATCTTCTCTCAAATAAAATAAGGAACCTTGATGTGCCATTCATGCCTAATAGCTGTAGTGTGGCAGAGTTAATGACTTAGCTCAATTTAAAAGTAGCAATTATGAAGCACTGTTTTTCTATAATTGTAGCAGCAGTAAAAAAAATAAGTCAATGGAGGGCTTACAGATATAAAGTGTGAATTATTTATATATATCCACACACACGTGCATGCTATGTCTCCAAACACGTCAATTGATATAATGGACACATTTCATAAACCCCTTACAGTTAATTTCTCAGCAGGTTGCTAGTGGTGGAGCAAACTGTGGGTACTTTCACCACTTTCAAGATATCTGCTCAGCATGGAGGAGGCCCTTCTGCCAGCAATGGCATGGGGAAGCAGTTGCAGGACTTTTACGTGTTTAATATTTATTTAAAGTGCCCTGGAAATGGCGCTATATAAATCCAAAGTAGAATAAACTTTTCGGGTCATGTTTTGGCTGAGCACTCCACTAGGAGAACGAGTTCAAACGACAGCCCATCATATCTCAAGGGTTGATTATAATAAGTGCCGCTTTGTGGGTCGTGATCGAACCCACGTCAGGGTCGGGATCGAACCCACGACCTCCTGAACACCAGACGGAGGAGTTAACATGTCTGCCACCGCGGCGCCATCTTCCGAAGGCTGCCATCTTCCACTCACTGATTGGGCTCAACCAACCGCCTCAATGTGAAATTAGAGCTTCTCCAGATGACCGTGAGCCGTGAAAAGAAGACGACGTTGTGCCCCTGCCGTGTCATTGACGCTTGCTGTGCTTTCGAAAGCTAACCTATTGACCCGCGAGCTGTCAGCGAAGGCCCCTGTGCTGCACATACAAGACGCAGAGCATCCCGGCATCAAAGATAATGCAAATATAATCCGGTGTTATCGCTTAAGCTCGAGCAGGGTGTATTGAGCAAGGGAGATGATCGTTCGTATCAACGCTGCTGCAATATTCACCCGAGAGATATAAGGGAAAGATTAAACATTAACTCGAGCAGCAGCATTGCAGAGGGGAGGTGGGGGCATGGATGGGTGTCCTTGTGATATTCGCAACATGTAGCGTATCATATAAAATAATGATCACACGCGTTGAGAGCTACGTCACCTGGGCATGTGTAGCTTTCATACTTCGGCTCTCCCATGGACATCCACGGGAGAGATGGAGCAGACAGAAAAGTCCGCCTCCGATCAACTCCGTCGCAGAACGGATGGCACCCCATCGCGTTATATCCAGTACAATGTGGATGTCTGTCGTACCAAGCTGCTCTGGTCGTCCATGAGATTAATGGTGTTACGGTCGTGAAATTTACTTTTGTTTCTTCTTCTATCGCATCATCTCTACAATGGAGGTACTCGGGAGAGGAGGTAAAGCTAGCTCCTTTCAGTGCCTCTACGTGAGTTAATTTGACATCGTCTCTGTTCACATTGAATTCTGGGAGGCTCAGTGTCACATATCCTGTGGAATAGCCACCTCCCGGGGAAGCGTAGAGGCACCAAGCTACACAAGCCGTCTTCTGCCTGATCCCACGTAATCTAAAATAATGAGACATCTACCGTGTACAAATACACAGACACTGACTAGTCATCGTAATTGTGTACGTTTTAAATCAAGAATTCTGGGAAGATGTTAATGCTCAACCATCGGCAGACCAGAACGTGTACACTCTGGACCTCCTTTCGTCGCCTTGTCTCATTCTGGCCCCCATCAGTGCGCCGTGTTATCCTCCCAGGAGCCTACTCTGATGATAACTCTGATCTCATCAGCATACCTGGGAATTATTGTGCTCAGGCTCAATACGTGGACTTGGGGGCGGTGAACTCCTGGGAAAGGGAAAGCATGAAGACATTATCATAACAAGCCAATGAGTTCGAGCAAAACAATTGCTCGAACTCATTGCCAGTTGTACACAATCACATACAATATAAACTCAACACACATACGTGTTATGTTACTGTACCGGCATCTCCACTTGCAACGCGCCCGAGCCTGTGACACCAAATCACCAACAAACTAAATGTAATTCTCCATTTTTTCCAAAGTGTGCCAGTAGGCTGCTAATCCTTCTTCTCATGAGAGGCATGGAATACAACCATAGTGCGAAATGTTCGGCCTGTGCTGATGACTTCACAAATAGATCAGGTCTAGGCATACTACGTGGAAATATCTGCGGTCTTTCTGAGAAAATGGACTGACTTAAAATGCAAATCACCAATCTGTGTCCGAACATCCTCTGATGCGACCGACATCATAAATAGTTTAAACTCCCACTGTCTCTGTAGGCCATATCTTGAGCAAAACCTTCAGACCAAACCTCCCCCCTCTGACATCAATACTACAAGTCTCGCAAGACCCCCTGTACAGAGTTTGATTTGAAACCAATGTGTGCCTTGGATGTCGCTGACATGCTAACTACATCAAAACACGTCATCCTCGGATAGCACCGATGATCTCCTTTCCTTTGCCCTTCATTGTGTGGACACCTCATTGCTGAACCCATCTCCCACATTTTAAACCTCTCCGCGCGGGAATCTTCAGTGCATAAGGAATGGAAAACTCTTCATACAGGGCCGATTTTGAACGTATCCCTCCTTTGATCAACATCTTCGAAAAGCTACTCAAATACAAACCCACCGGTGTGAACTTCATTTAAACACCATAATCAGTCCCCCTTGTCTTCTTGGTTCTTTCGGTAAAGTCAAAGAGTCTGTCGCCTCGACGGACCTGGTTTTCACCTGAGGACGGCTGCTTGCGTTGTGGCCGAAACGTCGTGAGAATAATTTTATTATGTTTTATTTTTATTATTTTATTATTTCCCTTCTACGTGACTTTACCGAAAGAACCAAGAAGATGAATCCTTGCAGTCACGAAAGCTTTAAATCAAAACAGTCCCCCTTGATCAACGCGTACAAATGGCGTACAAATTTTGGAGACAATCGTATTTTGGGACGAAAGAAAAGGTGAGAGATTTTTTTTTTCCTCAGAGGTTAATTCCAGGCGAGGGTAGTGGTGGGGGGGGGGGGGTGATGCGAGAGGTGCACAGCAATGGAAGGGATTGTGACACTCGTCCAGGTGCAAATGAAGAGATTGTGGGGGTGAGAGGATGACTCATGCCCGGGGGGGGGGGGGGGGCGGATGGGCGCTAAGTTTGGAGCCAGGACTTGAACTCGAGAACAGGTCGGAGCCTTTCAAATGTGTGGCCTGTTTTTTTGTTTATTGGAGACCCCGGGGATTACGTTTGAGAAACGACAAACAGCAGGACGTGACAAGTCAAGCATTTTTCAGAGTCATAAGAATTTAAATGTGCATAGTATCTGAAGACCAAGGCCCTGTGTGGTAGCTCAGTTGTGTTGGTGGCCATGATCCAATTGTGGAAATTCAACATTCCTATGGCAAGGCCCACAGCACCTCCAAATGATGACCACTGATGACTTCCTAGAGAGATTTGAAGCTTTCGTGACTGCAAGGATTCATATTCTTAGGTTTTTTCGGTAAAGTCAAGTAGGTAAAAAATGAAAATTAATAAAAGTAAAATAAAAATAAAATAAAAATCACGACGTTTCGGAAGCAACACAAGCTTCAGTCTTCAGGTGGAACCGTCACAGCACGATAGCTGTATCAAGTGAGAGAAATTCCAAGAAACAGTATTTGTATATATATATACTGGTTGAGGGTGGCAGGAGCCAAGGTAGGCCCTGAATATTATTTTTGTGAGGTTCGGTGCGGCTGAAGCACGCTGTTAGGAATGAGCCTTTGTTGTGTAAACTAGGTGCAGATGATGTAAAGGTGCGTGTAAAAGGGACTGAGCGTTTTTGTTATGTAGAGATGATGCGGCTGAAATCACTGCCAGGAAATGAGTCTTTGTTGTGTACAATGGTTGACTGAGCCTATTATTATGTAGAGGTGGTGCGGCTTAAATCGCTGCCAGGAAATTAGTCTTTGTTGTGTAGAATGGTTGACTGAGCCTATTGTTATGTAGGAATGCTCCTAAGAGCGTGCTTCAGCCGCACCGAACCTCACAAAAATAATATCCAGGGCCTACCTTGGCTCCTCCCACCCTCAACCAGTATATATAAATACTGTTTCTTGGAATTTCTCTCACTTGATACAGCTATCGTGCTGTGACGGTTCCACCTGAAGACGGAAGCTTGTGTTGCCTCCAAAACGTCGTGATTTTTATTTTATTTTACTTTTATTAATTTAATTTTTTTACCTACGTGACTTTACCGAAAAAACCTAAGAATATGATTAGTTTTGACCACAGAGGGATGGTAAGGTCAGTTGACGCTGGACCTGTGTTTGAACTTGCAACCTCATGATTGTGAGTTGAGCATTCCAATCACATCGTCACTCTTCATGAACACATTACAAAGGGTTCCTACAATCACATTTAACAAATGTTACTCTTGCCCATCGTGAATCCATTAATTTTTCTGGCATGGCCATTTTATCTATGTCCTGTCAAGAAATGGCTACATTGAAAATCTGACTGAAAATGGCATCAAATAAGCTTGATTTTCCCTTCCCTTACCTACCTATTCCTTGTACTTGAGCACTGAGTGAAAGATTCAACATAAACCAGTTTGGTTGATTGATTTTCTGACTCTGATTGCCTCCAGTCAGTATCGTTCAGTCGCTCACAGTGTTCCTGTAATGCTACTACCATTCATTCTCCAGTATATCAACGCCTCGACGCCCGCCAACCAGTATCTGGGATTCGTTCTATCCAATTGGCTGTTGTCTTCTCATCAGCGCTGTGTTAATCCACCCTAGGACAGGGACACACCATGTGTCTCCTACCTCCATTCCAATTTCTCAATTATGGAATTCTCTCCCATCGTCTCTCTTCCCCAGTATCTCTAACCCTCCTCGATTCAAGAAATGTGTTAGTTCTTGTTTGCTATGCTCTCGTTTTAGTGGTCGCTTCGCATTGTAGGCCTCTGCATTCATGTCAGCCAACCACGGTTCAAACAAAACACGTACATACGTTCATATGGCCACACGCGGTGGAATTATTTCGACTGAAGGGTGGTGCTTGCTCCCAACATGTAGCTCAATACCGTGACCGCGTTACCAATACCACCCCCAGCAATGGCCACATCTGGTTCGCAAAATGGTCATTAAAAGTGTTTTGCGGTAATGTGTGGAGGGGTCAGGGACAGGTCAACAGCGTCAAGGGCCTGCTCAAATGTGCATCGCCTCTTTCTTATTACACCCCCTGATACTTCCCAATTGGTCCCGTTAATTCATTGGGAACAAGATACATATATTAATATGTTATTGCTTTACCTAACAGCGTCATTGATTTTATATTTATTAAAGTAAGAACACACGTGGAAGCGCACTGTTTGAGAGTCGGAGGTGTGAGGCAGGACTGATATATACCGAATGAGGTGAGAGAGACCTGAACTTTAACAAAGCATCAAGAAAACTACCTTCTGCCCTTTAATTGTAGATAGACGCGGTGAAAGGTAAAGGTACAGCCTTCGTTTAATTGTTGACATCACTGCTGAAGAAGAACCTCCTTTGAGAGAGAGTGAGCTCTAGAAAGCCCCTCTTGAGGATATTTTTGGTTTGGTCTTCCACAACGGTCTTCCACACATGGGTTGGACCAGATGACACCAAAAGGCACCTTTTGGCGTCATCTGGTCCAACCCAAGTGAGACTAGGCTCTAAGGAAAGCTGTCTCGGGTGTGGACCAAACAACTTCAAGGACAGTGCACATTATCAGAGTTATGTTCTTTTGTATTATGACTGCAGGTATTGCGGTCTATGCAAACATGACTCCTTGTAAAAAGGTGTCAGTTTTGTTGCCAGATAGAAGGGTAAAAAACCAATTATCAACATACCCACACTTTTCCCTCCCACCTCTGACCTGTCCATCAATTATTGTGTACCCGTTTGTACTTCTGGTTGGTTAGAGATGGGGGGGGGGGGTATTTAAGAAAATTTCCATGTTTTTTTCAAATGCCGCACCAAGCAATTGAACCGGTTGACTTCTGTGGTAGGTGTTGCGAATTTATTGTCAAGATACGATAAGCAAATTGGAAATTCAGAATAGATTTTTGCAGGAAAGCAATGTAGGTCAGCCCTCGTCAGGAAAACAAGGTTGTGATGGTCGGGGCACATGTGCATGGGACAGGCATGAGAATAGCAACCCAGAGGCTTGCCACGAGGTGTAAAGACCTGCAGCAGATACTGTGTGTGGTACTGTGAGAGCAAGCCTTAAAAGTCACGTTGTGAAACTGGGCCATGATTACAGAATCTTGCGGATGGAAGGAAGCAATGGAAAGATATAGACATTAACAGCACTGGCAGTGATGACTTCTTGCTTCTGTCATGTACAATGCTTTAAAAGTACATTATAATTAGGTATTGATGTTCATTTTTATTTTTTATCAGAAATAAAATTGTAGAATTTCTTTGAAAGATAAGTTACAAAAATTGGTTTTCTTAAATCATATTAACTCTTGGATTTAAATTTGAAGTTATGAATTTTGTAAAAAGATATTAATTCAAATGCATGTTAACTAAACCATGTTGATTAATTGAGACCATACTGCAGATGCTTTGCATATGCTTAACTGTGGATTGTCAAAACATATTTGTGAAAGCAGTTTATTTTTGGGGCAGCAATTAGAGAGTGGCAGCTATGAACCCAGGACCTGAGTCATTGTACTGGCTATGGTGGTGAGTGGTATCTAAACCGTTCATCGGGCCCCTACATTCACCAGCCTGCAGTGACCAGCATGGTGACGTATATTCATACTCCTTGGTTCTTTCGGTAAAGTCATGTGATTTAAATCAGCAGTTGTCCTGCTGTATCGGTTCCGCCTGATGACGGTCGCTTGCGTTGCGATTGAAACGTCGTGATTTATTTTATTTCTACCTACGTGACTTTACCGAAAGAACCAAAGAGTATGGATTCCTGCAGTCACGAAAGCTTCAAATCAAGATTGAAGTATATTCAAACAAGCCCCATGACTGAAAGTGTGGGGATGCCTTTAACCAGAAGTTGCTTTGTAACTTACAAAGGACTGTAAGTTATATATTTTTTTCCTACCTTGTTAACTCGAACAGATTGGATCATGAGCGCTGTGTGAAAATGTGCTCCTATTACTCCGCCTTTGCAGTCTCTTGAAATGAATAATTGATTCTTGGCCACGTGGTGACCTGACCAAATTCTGTGATGTTAACCCAACGCGGCTAAAGAGATTTAATTGTCTCCGTGTAGAACCGTGTCATGGGCAGATAATTGTTTAGTTCCAGCTCACCAGCCAGTTGAAGAACAGTTCTCACAACCCAAATATTTATCAACCACTTGTATCTATTTGCTAAATTTGGTTGTGGGAATCGCTTTTCAATTTACCAGTGAGCTGAAACAATAATTATTGGTGCATCAAATGCTTGTACACGTGACACATATTTTTTTGCTATGTCAGGTAATGGAGGTTAACTTGAGAAAAATTCGGCCACGTTTTTTGGCCGAACCCAGATATCAATAATAAATCATGTATGTTGAACTTATTTCGTGCCGTGCATTGCCAACTGTGTTAACCGGAGGCATGGGGGGTAGGCTGTGAAACAGCTGAGCGTTAAGCCCCCTTTTTAAATGTTTCCTCTGTGTGCAGCGGCTGCTGAATGACATCCTGGAGTCCTGGCTGAGGGTGCAGGCGGCCTGGCTCTACCTGGAGCCCATCTTCGGCTCGGCCGACATTCGCAGTCAAATCCCCGTCGAGGGCAAGATGTTCGAGACGGTCGACGCCAACTGGTAAGGCCCGTGTGGCAACTTCACAGCGTCGCTGTATCTTGCTGTCCTTCCTCCCGCACCTCCAATTCGCACGGTTGGCTACATGCGGTGCGAAAGAAGTCCAACACACATGCAGACACACCGTATCACCGAGACACTGAATCAGTCCACTAAAACCATGAGAGCCACAGACTCACTCGGCGCTGTTCTTCATTTTATTTTTGGTTATCTTTGGTTACAATCTCTCTCACTCTCTCACTCCCTCCCCCACCCGTCCCTTCTCCCCTCCTCTCCACCTCCCTTTAAAAAAATGTCTCCTATCGTTGCCCCTACGGCAGTGTGCCCAGGCACCTTCGGCCAGTCCCTCTCCGATGTTCACGTTCTGTATGGGCTCTTGAATAATAATAGTAATAAACATTAGAGCCTGCAGTCAGCCCAATTGCAATGCATTATTGCAATTTATTTCTTTAGCCAGGTGCGAGCTTGTTAAGATCATTGTCTTTTTTAATTTGAACTTTTTAAACCATCTTAAAATCTGCAAGGCAGCATTCTTGTAGCCTCTGTATATCTAAAAATGTAAAGGTGTAGCCCTACAATTTCTGAATTGTGCCACTGCTGGCAGAAGGCCCTCCACTAGAGGGGGCCACAGAGCCCCTCCAGCGGTGGGAGTACCCACACTCTGTCCCACCGCACGTGACCTTCCACACGTGTGACTGTTGGCTCCCTGCAACGTGATGCTTCTTTTCAGCCCTCGAGGTGATTATGGGCCGAGTCAACCAATCAAAATCTGAATACGCTTCCTTCCGGTTCCGAGATGAGTGCTTTGCAGTAAAGTCCTCACTTAACGCATCGTCACGCTTGCGCGTCTTTCGCTGTAGCACGGCTTTTCTGTTCGGGAGCATTTCGTGCGCAACGCCTTTATCGTCATCCCGCCATGGGATGACTGCAGGCTGATGTTATTGTACAAGTGTAATTCAAATTTGCAATGTGTCATATTTATGGCCTGGAATGTCTATACGTATATACAAGTAATTACTCGCCTTAGCGCATTGTCGCTGAACGCGGCACTTTCCAGGAATGCATCTACCTCGTCAAAACGAGGAAGTACCGTAATTACAGCACCATATGAGCAGAGCTATGCTTCTCGGTATCACATCAGGAATCTCTTTGTGTATCTATCTTTTTCGGAATACCGTGAGGCTCTAAAGAGCTCCTTCGGGTGAAGTCCCTTTTGTCAGCCGAAATTACTTAATCGTACAATTGCAAGGCTGCACTTTTACCTTCATACGAGTAGGTATGTTTTTTTTACAAATGAATGAGTCTCTGAGGCTTACGATTCTTGTTTTTTCCCTATGATTGGTAATCACAGAACCTGTAACGACCTGCACAGCTGAGAAGCTCACACTCCAATTGCAGACAAGTCAGAACTCTACACACTGTCCGTTCAATGTATCACCTCATCAACCAGCAGATGGGTGTCACACCGATATCGTGACCCCCATCTCTTGGTGATACACCAACACCACCGCCACGTGATGCATGGCTGTAATCCAACACTTTGGAGATATGTTTTTTGTGGGAAATGCACATTTCATTCTGGTGCTGTCAAACTCCCAACATATTGGGTTTTAAGGTGGCCACAAAATGGCAGTACAGCAGGGGGGTTTGCGATCTGTTTTCTTAGAAGCCTCTGATTTCCTCCTCCTCCTCCCACACACAACAGACACCACGACGTAATAAGTAAACATAATTTTGGATATGTTTTTTAGCCAACTAAATAATGCCTCCTTCCTCTCCATAATTTTGTCTCACCACATAGAACATAAAGTATTTTTTTTACGCAACCCATAGGCTTTCTGGTTGTGCATCTTACATGCAGCATTGGTTCAACACAAGCGAACTCTGGACCGGGGTTTTGACATTCATTGTTCCATGAGCAGATTCAGGCTTGCTTGGGCAGTGAAATGGCCCAGTGGTAACGCGTTCACCACCTGTGGCAGATTTTCACGGTTGGAATCCAGTGACCGACCTGAGGGTCGCTCTCTTCGGGCAAGGGTAAATTGTGCGCGTTACAAATTAGCATTATTACTATGATTACTGCCGGTGTATTAGCCATAATAAAACTATGCAACGTCAACAGTCCAAATTTGCCAAATTTGCCAAATTCCAAACTTAGTCAAAAGTCACCCAACCAGGACAAAGTCCTAGTTGCTTCTTCTCACCTGGTTAAATAAAATAAACTTGAAACTTGGATTTTGAACTTGCTCGAACCAATGCCAGTTAACTGATTGATGTTTATAGGCAAGAACCCCCCTCTAATGGATGAGACCTCAGAAAACGCCGATTCAGGCCGAGCAATTCCTGAGGATCTCCTGAATAAATAAAGGGTAGTTGTCCGTATTAACACATTGCCATTGTCACCAGAATGGCACCAGACATGCTGGATGTTACCCGTTCGGGCTCACATGTTATTACGATGCAACGTTTATGTTTTATTTATATAAATAAGTAATGGGGCATTAACAGTATATGACCGCAATATTTATATTTTTATATTTACAAACTCAATGACGTAATAGAGCACAGACAGGCAGACTACAGCAACTTTCAGAATATTACAATTAAAAAAATCTAATGCTTTCAAGAATGGCACAAATGAAGGTGAGCAACTAGTTATGTTACAAGTTGACAGTTGACATGCAAGTCACTGCATACAGCCGCAGTAGTAAGACTGTGTTGTTCAGAGCCACAATCTCAGCTAGAACTGCGAGGCTGGGCTCCGCAGGATGTTTCCCTTGCTCTGCCACACCACCCTCCTTCTTGCTATCGGACGGAGTCTGTGGGGTTGGACAGTGGGGAAACCAACTGTTGGTTTTCCAATTTTGTCCACGTTTGTCTCTCTATCCATCTGCTTCTTACTTATTATACAGTTGCCTGTTGTCTGTGTGCTGGGCATGTCACCGTCTGCCTCATGCCTCCATCTGTTTGTAGTTCATATTTCGAATGCCAATGAGGAGGTTAATGCAGGGCCACCGAATTTGGAAGGGGGGAAAAGCTAAAATCTATAAAACTTCAACAGGTGCTCCATTGCAATTCCCATGAATAATGATGACTCAGCGATATATGACCCCTCCCCCCCAACACCAAATTCATGGTAGTTGTATTCCATGAACATGTTTAATTTATACACATTAGTTATATATTTATATAACAATTGTAGAACATTTAAAATATGTATCACCTCCAGTGATATGCCAGCGGAACCAGACGAGCGTAAAGGTTCCGGCACAGTCCGCTCTGAGTGTTGAATAATAATCTAAACAAGTTATTGAAATACTAATAATGCATTAATACATGCGTCATTACATATTAAAGGTGAACTTTTTATAGCATTATTTAAATGTAAAGAGTAATATCATTACGTGGGAAAATACTTCAAACGTTTGTGAAGATATGTATTTATAATCGCGTGTGTATATGTCAGGGCTTATGCGTGGATATTTATACGTGTGTGAGAGTGTGTGCACTTCCTCATCGGGGAGTGGTAGTGGAACGGTTAGTGTGCTACTCTACAAACTCGGTGACCCGAGTTCGATTCCCGCTAATTGCCAACAACAGTGACGATTTTCTCAACCGGTCCTGGTACTCCCCTCAATCGGCTGAGCCTCTAAAGAGTATTTGGTGCGGTGTGTAAACATCACAACTCAGGAGACAAAGGCGGCCGGACACGGTGCTGGCCACCCACCCACTCGTGTGCCATGCCAACCTTCACAGGTGCTCGCAAACAGCATTTGCCCCAATAATGTGTTAAGGCTGTACGGGTGATCTTTGTCTGTTATCGTGTAGTGTTTAGCACGCTGTGCTATAAAACCGGCAACCCGAGTTCGGTTCCCACTCATAGCCACCACCAACGATGAATATCTCAACTGATGCTGGGCCTCCCCGAGGTTGAATTAGTCTTAAATGAGTACATGGCGTGGCGTATAAACATCAGCACTGGGGAGGCAAAGGTTGGAGGGCATGGTGCTGGCCACCCCCCCCCCCCCCTCGTGTGTCATGCCGACCTTAATAGGTGCTCGCTTCACAGAGCTTGCACCAAAAGTATGTCCAGGGTTATTTTGGGGGATCTTTGTGTTCGTAATGGAGGGTGCCTTTGTGGTTCGTGCACTGAGCTATAATCGCTTTGAGATTGGGCTGGATTTCTGTTCATGCAAGTGAAGATTGCTATCTGATGTGGGAAGACAAATGTGGCATGCGGTCCTTTATAGGTGCCGTCTTAAGAGCGTTTGCCCAGGCAGTCTGTTAGGCTAAATTATGGGGTTTACATCAATGTATGTATTCACGTAATATCATTACAATGAGCCCGAATAGCACATTTTGTAAATGAAGAGGCATCCGTTGATATAACGAATTTATCATGAAAATTTCACGATTCACATTACAGCAATCTTTTTTGAAAATGGTATCCCTAAGCAAACATATCCACAAAACAAAGACAAATCCCCCCATGTAGCCTCGAACAGACTTCTGGGGGTAACTGCTCTTTGCAAGGACCTGTCAAGGCCAGTTCCGGCACACGAGGGTGTGGCGTGGCTAGCCCCATGCCTGATGTTTAGACACCGTATCAGTTACTCATTTAAGGCTGAGTCGACTTAGAAGAGCCCAGGACAGGTTCAGATATTCATCGCCAAATTTGCCTCTGAGGGAGAATTGAACTCGGGTCACAGCCAGGTTCAGAGTGTGGTGCGCTAACCACTGCGCCATCATTCACATTAACGTACATAAAAATAAGTCACCATTTTACATCACCGCAGCACTTGTGCCAGGCTAAATGCACTCATGAGGCCACGGGCAGTATTGAAGGCTGGACTTGATCCTTCCCTGCGTATCGACCGTTCAATTTTGGTGTGCAATTTTATTGAGGGACTGCTGTGTGTTTTCTTGCTGTGGTCTGAGAATTGTTCTTATTATTTTTTTTGCTGCCTTGCCCAAGCTTGCATTTATCATTGAAAAATCCGCAT